GCATAAAAGAAGGACATCCTAAATCACATATGTACCTGAAATACATATACCAGCTATTAGATATGTATGATCACATATGTATCAAACCAAAGGATATAGTAGACCATATATGTACTGAAGATATCTATATCACTTATTAAAATATATACATTAAATAAATATATATATTATTGACTATATCCATATACCACATATGACACATGGTTGATAATAATTAAACATGGAAACACATTAATATTTTTGCATATGAAATCACATGACTCTGCATTGTTATAACATGACATTTATAAACGTGTTTAAATACCACAGTGTACATATTTGCCATATTACATATATGTCCACATATGTTCACACGTGTTCACATATGTGTATGTACAAATGTATACATACATTACACATATGTTCCATATATCAATATACAACTGTAACGTATTCCTACCTCAAGGTTCAAAATTACAAACGAAAAGATTTGATTAAGTCGTATTTGATAGTCCGACAGCAGAGTAAACTAATCGACAATCTAAAATCGTTTATCGACGAATTTATAGCCTTTCCTCGATTCTGTTAATTTACGGAACAATAACCACAGCCAGGCTCAGTTTACTCATTGTGCACTCTGTTTCCAGTTAAGCTGAATTAAAACGACTTATAATCGAGCTCTCGTCTCAAGATGCTCTTCTTCTTCTTCTCCCTTTTTTTTTCTCTCTAGCCACTTTCGTTCCTATTTTCATCCCTCGGCCACGTCGCGTTATTTTCGCCCGAAGATAAAAGATATTATCTTCTTAGAAGACTATGGGGCCCGCAGCAATTTTTATTACGTCGTCCTTCTGCTCTTACTCGATCAATTTCTCCTTATCTTATTAACTTTCACTTCAACTTTATACTTTCTGCCCTTTGCCCTGTCACGTTGACTAATTTCCGTAAAGTAGCGTTACTACAGGGTAATGTACTGTATGGAACACGTGATTTTGAGAGCGTGCCAAAAATTGAAGCATGGGTTCTTTTTGGGGTGCTTGTTATGGCAAGGGATAATCTTTTGTGCGAGTTTTACTATTTGGATGAAATGCGTGCATTTTTTGAATAGGGGAAATGCTAATAGGAACTTCACAATAGGTGCATATTTTAGATTTCAATATTCTAATTACAGTAGTTAGATAAGTTAGATAAGTCATTTTTTACTTTGAAACTTTTAATTTTTTAAATTTCTCAAATTTCTCAAAGTTCAAAAGTTTTTCAAGTCTCTGAAATTTTCTAAATTTCGCAAATTCTTAAGCGTCTCAAGTTTTTTTAATTTTCAAGTTTCTCGAATTTCATAAATTTCTAAAATTTTCCAAGTTTCTCAAATTGCTCAAATTTCTCAAATTTCTCAAGTTTTTCAAGTTTTTCAAGTTTCTCAAATTTCTCAAATTTCTTAAATTTCTCAAGTTTCTCAAATTTCTCAAGTTTTTCATAGTACACAAATTTCTCAAATTTTTCATAGTGCTTAAATTTCTCAAATTTTTCATGTTGCTCAAATTTCTTGTTTCTCAAATTGCTCAAATTTCTTGTTTCTCAAATTGCTCAAATTTCTCAAATTTTTCATATTGCTCAATTTGCTCAAACTTCTCAAAATTTTCAAATTTCTTAAATGTCAAATTTCTGAAGCTGCTCAATTAAAAAAAATTTTTCAAATTTCTTGAAGTTCTTAGGTTTCATAAATGTCTCACACTTCTAAAGCTTCTCAATTTGCTCAAACCTTTTAAACTTCTTAAATTTCTTAAATTCACTAAACCTATTAAGTTCGTCATATTTCTGAATTTCTTAATACTCAATCGACTGTAACATTGATTATCAATTACTCAAAGTTTAATACGAAACTTATCGACGCGTATCGTATACTTATTTTGCAGTCTCAAATAAAGCAAACAAATAAACAATCAATAAAACCCAAATTCTTATCTCGAAGAAATAAATTAATAATTTAAGCAATGCGAAATAAGAAACTTGTAAATTGGTCAATTAACTGATCCAGCGTTAATCGTCAGAGAATTAATCAGGGATTCCCGTGTCGCATCGAGGAGCTGCACAAAAAGGCAGCTCGTGTCGCAGCGGAGCATCGGCGAGAGTAAAATTGAAGGCAAAGCAACGGTATAGAATCGGAAAACATAAAAAAATAAAGGGAAAAGGAAGAAGCGACAGGGAAAAAGGGTGTGAGAGGAAGATGGGAGGAGAAGGAGCGAGAGTATGTACGCATAGAGAAGTGTGCGCATCGCGCGTATTCAGTTACGTCCGGTGCGTCGCGCCGTCGAGACGCGCTGTTTCGGTAACAAGTTTCGTTCGCGATGATTTTACACGCGTCTACACGTTGTCTCCAAACCTCTTTCAGAAGAAAGGAAATACGATCGATAATACACTGTGAATCCACCTTTATTTACACTCGATATATATCTTGATCATTATCGAATACGATACTAAACATTATTCAATGTTTAGGAAAACAATAAGTGAATTCGGTTTAAAAAAAAATTATTGAAATTCTTTTGGGAAACTATTTTTTAGTAAAGTATTATTTTTTGGGGTATTAAGTGCAGTTTTTGGTTGAAAGACAGATATTAAGGTTCTTTTTAGATATTTTGCTTGTTAAGGAAATATTTTATGGAATATTAAAGTTTGATGTGAACTTTTCAGCTTCAAAAAAAAAAACACTGAGATTCTCTTAAAAATTTGTAGTTTCTTTATGGAAATAATTTTTCTTGAAGTATTAGTTATAAGTGAAGTTTTTGATTTAAAAAAATATTAAGGTCCTCTTAAAAAAATGTACTTTTTAGAGAAACATCAAATGTTAATATGGAATATTAAAGTTTACCTATGAACTTAAAAAAAATACAGTAAGATTCTTCTGAAAATTTTTAGTTTTTAAAAAAATTATGCTTGTTAGAATATTAAAGTTACAAGTAAACCTTTTGTTTAAAAAGAAAAACACGTCTTGATTTTTCTTTTAAGATTTCACAAAATTTTCACATTTTACAAAAATTTATTATTTTGTGGAATATTAAAATTTTCCATGTAAGAGTCAGCTATGATAGAACTATAACAACTGTATTTTTATCAAAAATTTAATTTTCTACGTTTCTTTCCATTTTTGCACTCTTCACAAGTAGAAAGTGTACTTAACTTTCTTTTCTAAAACTCGTCCCACTTTCGTCATAAATAATTTATATGATACTCTGCATACAAATATACAAATTTAATAGTTGATAAATGAGAGAGTTATGACATTGTCTTATTGTTAATGAATTTTATCTGTTCAGTCGGAAGATACTTAGTCCGTTTAGTACGAAAAAGAGTTCTAATAAATTTGATCTTTGGATCATTGTCTACCAGAATCGAATTGGATAATCGTTGATTAATTAAAGAACATATGATGAGAGTTCTGTCTTTCGTTTGTAGCAAGCTTCTTCGATTATAGATTTGACCATTGGATTGTTAATTAAATATTACTGAAATGACATGTTGCATCAGTGAAATTTTGGAGATTGCTGAAAGAAGAAGACTTGACAGTGGAGTGAAAAAAATTGTAAGATGATCAGTGTAGAATCAGGAGAATTGTAAGGTGAACAGTGTAGAATTAGAAAAATTGTAAGATAAACAGTGTAGCTTCAGAAGAATTTTAAAATGAGCAGTGTAGAGTCAGAAGAATTGTAAGATGAACAATGTAGAATTAGAAGAATTGTAAGATGGACAGTGCTGAATTAGAAAAATTATAAGACGAACCGTGTCCAATTATAAAAATTATAAAATACACAGCGTAGATTTAGAAGAATTATAAAATGAACAGTGTAGAGTAGGAAGAAATGTAAAAAATGAAAAGTGTAGAATAACAAAAATTATAGAATGAACAGTGTAGAGTCAGAAAAATTAAAAAATGAACAGTGTCCAATAAGAAGAATTATAAAATAAACAACGTAGATTCAGAATCCTAAAATAAACAGTGTATAATGAGAACCGTAAAATGAACAGTGTAGAATCAGAAAAATAGTGAAGTAAACAGTGTACAGTCGAAAGAATTGCAAGAAGAACACTGTAACCCAAGAAGTGCAAGAACAAGTGTCAGAGTAGACAAGTGTTTAATGAGTGCTACATTGCTTTCTTCTTTTGTTGGTCCGAAAAGTGATTGGATAATAATATAGCAGTGAAAAAGACACAAGTGGATCGCAGTTTATGTTTACACATAAGGGGTAGCGAGAGCATCGGCTGCGAAATTGAATAATTGGATAATATATCGAATAGGATAAGTTGAAGAGATTGAAGGCTTTCTTCGGTGCTCTTGAAACAGGCGCGCAACTCGGTTGTCTCTTCTTCTCGAGTGTCGTCGATTGTCTTTCAATTTCGATCGGGGAATGGTTTTATTCGACACTGGAGAATGGAATTAACGAGAAAACCCTTTCATTCATTGAATAAATGACACTGCAGTTCTTTTTCATTTTCTCGTTCAGAGATCTTGAAATACTTTCGAATCTTGTTATTGAAGAATAGTACAAGTGACATTGCAGTTATTCTATATTTTACTTGAACAATTAGAAATCTTGGAACACTTCTGAAGTCTCAAGAATTAGAAAACAGAATAAGTGGCACTTATAGTCATTTTATTATTCAGAAAAGAAGGAAGAAAGTATCTAAGTACTTTGATTGCAATCTTCAGAAGTGAAGAATATCTGCAAGTTTTTTATCTGACTCTGTAAACAAAAAGAGCACTTTAAAACCACCAAAAAATCTCAAATTATTAAACACAGCTATTAGCTACATTTATTACAGAAACTTCAGTCATATAAAAATACAATTAATACAGAAACTTGAACCTCAAAGATAGAACCACAATTAATAAAAAATCTTCACCAATAAATATCCAAACTCAATAAGAAACTTGAACAGCAAAGGTCAAACCACAATTACTAAAAAATCTTCCACAAAAAATAAAAAAATTAAGAAAACCTCGAGCGAATATTCAACAAAAAATCTCCAACAAATCTACAAACCTCCAATAAATCTACAAATTGCATAGAAAATCAGCAACATCAAGATATTTTCTCGCATAAATTGAAGCACGTCCCACGGTATCGCACGGTATACTTGAATGAAAGGAAACGATAGTTGAATCGAAATCATTAATCGTACTCCGTTCGCTTTCGCGAAGAAAGAAGAATGTGAGAACACGTTCATTTCCTCGAATGTCAACAGCTTCTCGGGGCTCATATTTGTTCGCGTTGTTGCATGTTGCTCGATGCACGTCTGATGCACCGCTGATGCGCTTCTGAGTACACGAGGTAGAAAACGAACGTGACGACACGCCTCGCGAGACCACGTGCATCAAGGGATAACAAGATCGTTCTTGTAACTATCTAGGAACACGCTCGATTGATCGTGTACGGTCGGACATACCTCAACGGCTATTCTTATAAAACTATCGTCGACTGTTTTATCTACGTTGTCTTTCTTCGATTCGGTTAAATTAATTTACTTCGTGATCAGACACTGTAGAGTTACGTTAAAGGACAGTTATGTTCGATCAGATATTGTATAGTTACGTTAAAGGACAGTTATGTTAAAGTTATGTTAAAAGACAAGCAGGAGCTATGTATATGTGTGATCTTCATATGTGAGGAATGTTGAAAAGATTTTGGTACTTGAGGTCTGAGTATTTAAGTATGAGAAGCACCTAGAGACTTGAGTGTCTAAGAACCTTGAGTATTTAAGGACCTGAGTATCTAAGGATCTAAGTATCTTAATGTCAGACGCACCTAAAGAGCTAAGTATCTAAGAACCTGAGTATTGAAGAACTTCAGTATTTGAAGATTTGACTGCCTACGAAGTTAAATACTTAAAGATCTGACCATCCAAGAAACCAATTAGCTGGAGATTTAAGCATCTAAGAAATTAAATGTGTAAAGATCTGAATACCTCAAGATTCGTCTACCTAAGAAGCTAAATACCTGAAGGTTTGACCATCTAACAAGTTGAATACTTAGAGATCTGAATATCAGAAGATTTGACCATCTAACAAGCTAAATATTTAGAGATCTGAATATCAGAAGATTTGACTATCTAACAAGCTAAATACTTAAAGATCTGAATACCTGAAGGTTTCACCACCTCAGAAGGTAAATACCTAAAGATTTAACCACTTAAGAAGCTAAATACCTAAACATTTGACCACGTCAGAAGCTAAATATCTAAAGGTTTGACCACCTAAAAAGCTAAATATTTACAGATCTGATTACCTAAAGGTTTCACCATTTAAGAGGCTGGGTACCTAAAGATTTGATTACCTGAGAAGCTGAATATTTAAAGATTTGACCACCTAAGAAGCTGAATATTTGAAGATCTGAATATCTAAAGATTTGACCACCTAAGAAGCTAAATATCTGAAGAATTGACTACCTAAAAAGCTAAATTCCTACAGATCTGAGAACCCAAAGATTTGGAACCTAACCCAAGCTCAAGATTACCTAAAGACCTCAGTCCAAGAGTACCTACGAATCTGAGTATCTATGGATCTAACTATCTAAAGATCAAAAGACTGTCTAAAAATATTAATCTATAAGTCTAAGCTTCAACCTAAAATTGTTGAATTTCATATCCGAGCTATTAGCAACCTTACGACCTAGTTTCCAATAGAACTCGAAGTCAGGAAATTATCTTTGATCTGTCTCCAATTTTTGTACTCAAACTTCAATCCGCTATCACAAATGATACCACTAATTCACTCTAAATCTATGTAACACGGTTATCGAGCAGTTGCATCGAGCGAAACGTTACTTGTGCCGGTTACATCAGGCAACGAAACAAAAGGTGTATCGCGAGAGGAATATCAATCCGACCCGTTGCATATGCAGCAGTATTCAATTAACGAAAGAAGAAGCTTAATCCCCGTGCAATTAGCATCTATTACTTGCCGAAACGTTTTACGATCGAATTAACGCAAATCAATCATTTGCTTACGAACTCGAGTGTTCCGTTAATCCGCGGGAAATTATATGTCGTGATAAACAGATCAACACGAATGCTGAGTGTAATTACAGCGGTGTTTCTGCGTCGGGTTTGTGTGGCTCGAGTGGAAACGATAATTAGCGATTGTCGGTTGTGTGCGTGAATTGATGGGATTCGGATGACGTTAACGGCAACGGGCATCGACGTCATGGCTTGTATCAGAGCACCGAGATCCGTTTGCGGATCGAGTGACGACATCAAAGCTGATTCGACTCGGAATGTCATACAGGTATGGCTCTGTTTTCGCGATCGACGTATCCCTATGCGTGAATTGCATATTTACGATCATCGAAACGCGATAGATAACCTTGCTTTATGATCCTTTTGTGTCTTGGAGTTATTTAATCTTCGAGTGGAATAATAACATACATATTATTCGCTAAATATACTGCGAACACAGTCTTCTAATGCCTCTAATATTATAATAAGTGCTTGTGGTACACGGTATGTCGGAAAAATAACGAAACTTTTTAAGTAAAAGAATTGTGTCACGAATTGTAACTGTACTTCAACTAACGTTTTCAAAATAACAGTACTTCAGCTGTATTTGCATCATAACAAACGCTTCACAACGTTCCATTCTTAACATTTTCGCTTTTCCAATTATACCGTCCATTATTTCACTGTTACCTTAACGAACGACGTCTGAAAAAGCACACAAGAAACAGTCAATTAAGACTTCCTTCAAGCGACACGTTCGCTCCCAAGAAGTGTCCTCCTAATCAACCGCAGAGCGACCGGAAGACGCCTTCGTCGACGAAAGCTCTATGGCGTATAAAGAGAAACTCGGTATAGCGTTCGAGGTTCTCTATACTCGCCGCAGGAAACCTAAAGAAGTCTCGAAAGGGCTGTTCAGATCGTCGCAAGAACGGATCCGGCAAAGTTTATTGTTTTGGATGGCGGCCAATATTTTTCGCTCGTGTCGGGTCCACGAAGACTTCGGCTCGAAAAGGCATAGAGTCGATTTCGAACGCGCCAGAGAAAGAAGCTGAAGAATAGAACGATCAGCGGACAACGAGGATAGAACCTCGATGGAGGAAAAGAGAATTAGTCACCGAATCATACGTGCACGTTTATACACGCGCGATCTTTCTCTTGGCCAGTGGTTACATACATCTGCATACAGGCTGTTTCGAAATTAATATTTTGACACGATTGTTTTATGCAACTCTTAATGTCGCATGTGTTATATTTCATATATACGTTTACATATATGTTTTAATGCGTACACGTTGATTGTCTATTTGGTTGGAAAATTCATTTGGTACAGATCCACATATGTACACAGTTCACATGTCTTTAATTTCAAGTTTACACACATGTATACAAAGTTACATGCATGTAATTTCAAGTTTACATATGTACACAATTCACATGTCTTTAATTTCAAGTTTACACATATGCATACACAGTTACATGTATGTAATTTCAAGTTTACATATGTACACAATTCACATGTCTTTAATTTCAAGTTTCCACATATGTATACACAGTTACATGTATGTAATTTCAAGTTTACATATGTACACAATGACATGTTCTTAATCTCAAGTTTCCACATATGTATACACAGTTACATGTATATAATTTCAAGTTTACACATGTACACAATTACATGTTCTTAATCTCAAGTTTCCACATATGCATACGTAGTTACGTGTATATAATTTCAAGTTTACATATGTACACATGTACATGTCCTTAATTTCAAGTTTCCACATATGTATACCCAGTTATATGTATATAATTTCACGTTTACATATGTACACAATGACATGTTCTTAATCTCAAGTTTCCACATATGTGTACACAGTTACATGTATATAATTTCAAGTTTACACATGTACACAATTACATGTTCTTAATCTCAAGTTTCCACATATGCATACATAATTACGTGTATATAATTTCAAGTTTATATATGCACTTAATCACATGTCCTTAATTTTAAGATTACACATATACATAATTATATGTACATAATATAAAGTTTACATATATGCACAATCATATGTCCACAATTTAAAATTTACATATGTGTCCTCATCCAAAGGTTACAAAAATTGACCGTGTTTATAAAATACACAGTTTGATCGTTCAATTTAGGAACAGCCTGTACACACAGCCAGGGGGTTCTGTTTTTCTATTTGCACCTATGGGAAGAAGATGATGCACGTGTGCGTGTGCGTGCATTCGTATTCCATGGAGACACGCGTATATTTACATACGCGATTCATCTACCCGTTTGACCACGTACGCGTCTCCGTTTCCACCTTCATGTCTGTGTGTACGTACACGAACGACGTGTTAGTGTTTTCTGTATGTGGAAATACACACACATGTGTATATCGGCCACGCGGACCAGTCGAGACACTGTACTATTTTTGAGCGCGGCAAAGAGAGAAACAGGATGAACTTCCTTCATAATTTCGGGTCAGCACGCAGATTCTAATTTTCATTATTAACTAAGCCACGGAGGGAAACTTGGTGGTTTTAATCAGCGATAAACTGTACGCGTTGAAATCTGGGAATGGGGATAACGGTGAATTCTTGGGGACGAAAGAACCACTCGCTGACACGCGAACACGTGTCTGAAGGATACAGGCGCGTGAATTCACTGAATTTGAAGTGGAGATTGATGTTGCGAGATTTTGTAATGTGCAACTTTTCAGATTTTTAATTTTAATAAACTGAGGTGGGTTTGGAAGACTGAAAGGTAGTTTTAGGAAGATTTTGGAAGATTTAGGTAGTTTTAGGAGGTTGAAATTAATGAACATACAAATCGTTAAAGTTTAAAACCATCTAATTTAACACCATAACAATCTAATTTAATATTTAATAACGTTGAAATGTTTCTTTTGTTAACAGATCTACACGGATTGGGCGAATTATTATCTAGAAAGAGGTGGCTGTAAAAGAAGAGTGACGGATCTTCAGACTGATCTCTGCGACGGTGTTCTTCTAGCTGACCTAGTTGAGGCAGTCAGTGAGTAACTCAATATTATCATGCTACTTTCTTCCTGTGTTAACCCTTAACTACTATACACGTTACAACTTGCATAACCACTTGAAAATTCCTAACGAACCATTAATTTTTACTGCACCATTCTATAAATACAAATAACGAATTTGGGTGAGATCTTTTGATACATTTTAATTTTATCAAGTAGACATTCTTCGGATAGAGAATAGTAATTTTTTGTGTATTGTTCTTGAATTTTCGTTTATATTATAGTTACGTTGCAGTGAAACATGAAACACTAAATATGATAAAATTTCAGACTTCTCTGTATAGTTTATTTCTAAAAATTCAGATCAAATTAAATCCGTTAAATATGATAACAAATGTGATAAAAATATAAAAGAAATATACAGGGTGCCTCACAACTAGTGTAGGTCCCTGAAATGGAGGGTAGCTGACATGATTCTGAATAACATTTCTCTTTGCAAAAATGGGGTTTGAAGCTTCGTTTTTCAATTATTAAGGAAAAACACGGATCAGTCAGAGCGCGAGGATTACGCATGCGCAGACGCGAGAGCGGCAGCTTCGGATAACACGTAGTTATCCAACGCGTGGTAATGCAACGCGTGGTAATCCTACGCGTAATAATCTAATGCGTGATAATCCAACGCGTACTAATACAGCGTGTGGATATCCAACGCGTAGTTATCCAGCGCGTGCATAGTCAACGCGTAGTAATTCAACGCGTAATAATGCAACGCGTGGTAATTCTAAGCGTAGGAATCTAATGCGTGGTAATCTAACGCGTAGTAATCCAGCGTGTGGATATCTGACGCGTAGTAATCCAGCGCGTGGATATTCAGCGCGTATTAGTCCAACGCGTAGTAATGCAACGCGTGGTAATCCTATGCGTAGTAATCTAACGCGTAGTAATACAGCGCGTAGTAATACAGCGTGTGGACATCCAATGCGTAGTAATCTAACGCGTGTATATTCAACGCGTAGTAATCCAACGCGTAATAATTCAACGCGTGGTAATTCTAAGCGTAGGAATCTAACGCGTGGTAATCTAACGCATAATTAACCAACGCGTAGTAATCTAACGCGTAATTAACCAATGCGTAGTAATTCAACGCGTAATGATCCTCGCGCTCTAATTATCCATGTGTGGCATACTAATTGTGAAATACCCTGCATACATATATATTTTATTATATTTTTGAAACAATTAATTTGAAAAATTGTAAAAATGAAAAGCTACAAAATGCATCCTGACAAAACTCTCCCATTTTATTTCCGTAAATTATTACTCTGAAGTTGTATACGAATTTAGTCCAACAAACGGAAATTTCTAAAGCTTGTAACAGTTAGAATGCCTATTCAGCTAGAAATTACGAATAGATTCGCGAGTGACAATTATATCGGTAACCATACGTTTCGAAGTGAATGAAAGAGACGTCAATGATCAACTGGCAGGTAACAGTACTGAATGGCCGAAACGTTTATGGTGTTGGACAGTTAGCCATAACACATAAATTGACGATAAAGTCGTTAGGGCAACGCGGTCACGTGTTACACGCGTACGCCATATTCGATGCGCCTCGCTAAATTCACGGTTAGCCCGTTAGCCAGCGTGACATGTCACCTCTCGATTAATTATTGCATGTTTCTCGTTACAGCCAACCAAAAGGTGATCGACGTTAACAGGAAGCCGAGAAACGCTCAACAAATGGTGAGTTTTTAGTTTTGCAAATGTTTCTTTGTGACGATTAATAAGAAAACGTTTGAAGACACATTTCCGTGTAATTTGCAAATATGATGTTCAATGACGGTGCATAAAATTTTAATGAGAAACGAGTGGAAAATGAGTAATAATTTAATAGAATGAGTAATAATATCGTGAATGGGTGACTTTGATCGATTATATTGACATGATTTCATGACACGAATACCGTGATGGTGTGTTTAGAAGTATTTTAAGGTTCGTAGTGAGCCATTTTGAAATTTTTGAGTGTCGAATTTTTTTGGGGGACAAATTTTCAAATTTTTCGTAGGCTTCCTATGTTTTTAGTTTTTAAATTTATGAATTTTTATGTTGGTAAATTTTGATATTCTCAAATTCTTACACTTGCAAATCTGCAGGTGTTGAGTTTTCAAATTCCCAAGTTCTAATATTTAAAAATTTCCAAAATGACAAATTTCTGAATTGTCAAGCTTTTAAATTGTCAAATTTCTAAATTGTCAAATTTCTAAATTGTTAAATTTCTGAATGGTCAAATTTCTAAATTGTCAAATTACTGAATTGTCAAATTTTTAAATTGTTAAATTTCTGAATGGTCAGATTTCTAAATTGTGAAATTACTGAATTATCAAATTTCTAAATTGTCAAATTAATGAATTGTCAAATTTCTAAATTGTTAAATTTCTGAATGGTCAAATTTCTAAATTGTCAAATTACTGAATTGTCAAATTTCTAAATTGTTAAATTACTGAATTGTCAAATTTCCGAATTGTTATATTCCTAAATTGTCAAATTTCCAAATTGTTATATTCCTAAATTGTCAAAATTCTAAATTGTCAAATTTTTAAATTCTCAATATCGTAAATTTCCAAATACCTCATCTTCTCACTTGGCATATCCCCAAATTTTCCCCAATCTCCAATTATTTAGTGTAATGTATAACAAGTTATTCAATCAGTTATCTAACTATTTAGTGCAATGAACAAATTCTCTATCAATTACTCAGTGAAATGAATAACAAGTTATTTATTACCTAACTCGCTACTTTTCACAAAACCTCCCGCAAAATCAGAAAGTTTTAAATCGTTAAAAAGTATCAATAATAAAAAAGCAAAATGTCAAATGGTAAATAAAATTGGTGAAAGTCTAGAAAGTTTCTTGAAGTTCGGCCTGAGGTGATGAAAGTCGATCACCGTAGGTTGCAGAGCTTTACAAGTTGTCTTTTTAAAAATAGAAGGCTCACGATTTAGGGTAGGTAGATTAAGTCTGGACGAGTGTGGCACTCGTCTGTTCAACTGCATTATACTGAAGTGTCATAAATTATTGTTGACTATCTTCGTTCGCAATCGGAAGTAATAAAATATGAACATATATTTTGTTTTCATTTCATTTTTATCTTAGTTGGACTTATTGTTAGTTGGATTAATTTTAAATGACACAAGTCGTTTAATGAAATTAAATTTTGTTTGTATTTTATTTTTTTTTTTGAGGAACATTTTATATGATAGTATTTGTTCAATGACATATTCAATATTTTATGTACATTATATTTTTATTTTTTTTATGATTGAGAGAATGTCTGAGAATTATGTTTCTTGGCCTCAGATGTTTATTTTTATTGAGTTTCTTTTTATAATTATAGTTGTAATTACGAAGTTACAAGTTTTTAATATTCATGTAAGAAGATTATTTTTTATAAATTTTTGAACCTGTTCAAACTCAATTCTTTTCAAAAAATGAAGAGCCATATGACAAAATTGTATTGTATATTTTTTTCTCTATTTTTTTTATGTAAATTCAAACAATTTTGCGGTTGTACGATTATTTTGAAAACACCCAGTATAAAATGGTGTTTTATGGATGACAACTGCATGGTGAAAACGAGCTGCGTCACATCCGGATAGATCGACGAAGTTGAGTTACATTTCGCAGGATAACGCCTTCTCGTGTTCTCTATTTGCATAATCTTGAGTGAGCACGGTGAGGATCGAAGATGAGCTTAGATAACATTTATAATGCAAAGCAGTAATCGTGTATCTTGAAAGGTTATTTCTAAAGCGGATTTCCCTTGACCAGACGACGATTCGTCAACTGATAGAATGCTAGGAAATTATGTGTGTTTGTATGCAGACATTTCTTGTGTAATATGTATTCTGTCTTTTTGGAACAAGTAGATAGTTATTATAGGAATATGATATTATAGAGGAATTTGGAAATTTTAGGATTCTTGGGAATTTTTGGGAATTTCGGGAATTTAGGGATTTTGGGGATTTTAGGAACTTTGGGAATTGGGGAATTTAGAAATTTGGAAACTGGAAAATTTGAAAATTTATAAATCCGGAAATTTGAGAATTTGGAAATGTGGGAAATTGGGGAATTTCAAAATTTGGAAATTTGTGAAAATGGGGAATTTAGAAATTTGGAAACTTGAGAATTTGGAAATTTGTGAAATTGGGGAACTTAGGAATTTGTAAATGTGGGAAATTGGGGATTTTAGAAATTTGGAAACTTCAGAATTTGGGAATTTAGGAATTTGAAAATTTGGGAATTTAAAAATTTGTGAAATTGGGAAATTTAGAAATTTGGAAGATTTGAGATTTAAAAAAATTGACACATTACTTTCTATTATTATTATTATTCGTCCTCATTAATCATCCTCCAATATTCCTTGACTCTCCAATATTTGCTTATCGAACTAACTATCCTTCAATATTTATACATTGACTTAAAAGATGAAATTGAATTTCCGCTTTATTTCCAATTTATAATCTCGCGTTTAGCATGGTAAGTGACGGCGCTAAAAAACTCGGGAAACGGCAACCGCATGATAAATCCAGCAGAAATTGAGGGCGTACAGCAAGTTTTCTCGGGTTTACGAGTTGGACGTGTCGCAGGAGTAGACAGGAACCGTAAACTGACGTGCAAGTCGCGTGTTCGAGCGTTGAAGGAAAACACGTGATCCAAGTTTCGCGTTTTACCGTATACAACCGCGTACATTTGGGCACGTTCTCGCCCGTGGCAGCCGCGTTGCTTTAATTATAGACCAGAGCCCTTCTTCTTTTCTTCGTCCACCCTCGACACCGCGAAATTGGAAAGCAACGTCTCGATGCTTGTTTCTCGTTGCTTAGGGTAGCGAAACTCCTTCTCTAAACTTCTTTCGTTGTCGCTGAATCCTTTTGTTATTGCAATCAATTTTACCATTTGCTTTTTTTAAAATATCCACAGAATTTCTTGTAATTTATTGTACATACAGAGCTGGTCACGTATGTCACATATGATATAAGAACAAAGGTACTTGTGCTTTCAATTTCATTTTCTAATTTATTAGGGTGCACTACTTTCATAATATTAAGTACCCTCAAATGTACTTTTTGGTTGCTTTTCTTATAAATAATTAATATAACTGACTTTGTAGTGCTGGTCACATATGTCACATATGACATAAGGACAAGGGTACTTGAACCTTCACTTTCATCTTTCAATTTATTACTGTGTATCATTTTCTTAATATTGAGAGCCTTTAAATGTACCTTTTGGTTACTTTTCTTATAAATAATTAATATAACTGACTTTGTAGTGCTGGTCACATATGTCACATATGATATATGAACAAAAGTGCTCAATTTTTTAATTTATTAGTATATATCATTTTCTTGACATTGATAGCTCTTAAATATTCCTGTTCTTTGTTTCTTCTATAAATAATTAATGTATTTCAATTTATACTGTTCATTACATATGTCACATATGATATAAGCACAAGGCTATTTGATCTTTTAGTTAAACAGTTAAGTTTTTGTGTAAAATTTTACATTTGCAATCGAATATTATATAAAATTTGTCAAGTAACATATTGTAAAATATAATTGCATCGATTTAAAGTATCAGATCCAAGAAGCGAACGAAGTGAGTCAGAATCTTATCAGTAAGAATAAATACACAGAAAGGGATAGTTAGCCAAGTTTAAAAGAAGCGTTGTTTATAAAATAGTTGGTAACTTGATTTATTATTTCAAGCGTTTTTTTCCGGGAAACTAACATTTGGGTGTTTTTAAAAGAGTCATCGACTAAACCGGAACCGGTGGCCGGCGTCGCATCTCTGACCGTCCGAGCCGGTCCATCGCGATCTATTTCTATTTCACCAAGAGTCCACTGCCGTGAGTGTGACTCATTGGGTGTATACATTATTAGTCAACCGACCGTCTTTTAACGATCCTATTCTAATAAATTATAAATAAAAGGGAATATCTAGAATTAAATGCGATGCGCCATATTCGATATGGTAGGGGCTCGTTACGTTTAGGACTGTAGATGTTCATAAATATACTTCACTGTACGAATTTCTGTATTTACAAATTTTATGATTATAGATATGAAAGTTTGGACAGTTGTAAATTACTAAATTTTATGCTCTCAAATATCAAAATTTTCAAATTTCTAAATTTCCAAATTCCACGTTTTTAGTTTCCAAAATTTGCTAATTTCTAAATTCCCAAATTTCACGCTCTCAATTTCCATAATTTATACATTTCTGAATTCCCAAATTCCACGCTCTCAGTTTCCAAAATTTGCTAATTTCTAAATTCCCAAATTTCACGCTCCAATTTCCAAAATTTATAAATTTCTGAATTCCCAAATTCCACGCTCTCAGTTTCCAAAATTTCCAAATTTCTAAATTCTCAAATTCCACGCTCTCAAATTCCAAAATTTCCAAATTTCTAAGTTCCCAAATTCCACGCGCTCAGTTTTCAAAATTTCAAAATTTCTATATTCCCAAATCTCACGCTTCCAAATATCCAAACTTTCAAATTTCTAAATTCCCAAATTTCACGCACTCAGTTTCCAAAATTTTCAAATTTCTAAATTCCCAAATCTCATGCTCCCAAATATCAAAATTTCCAAATTCTTAAATTCCCAAATTTCACGCTCTCAGATTCCAAAATTCGCAAATTTCTATGTTCTCGAATTTCACGTCTCCCATGCTATGTTCTC